GGGAGGATAAACTACTTTAAGTACGTTTTTCATGTTTGTGAGTTCAAGGTTTGGTTCCCCAACAATTTAGCTTGTCATTTCTTTAACTTTAAAATCTCAGATATGGAATTTTCCTTAAAAGTACCCCAATATGACAAAAATGTTATTTTGAAAAACAAGAATAAGGTGTTGTAAGGTATGTTCTCTACCGAGGTAAAGGTAGAGAACAATAGTATAGATGGATATAAATAAATAAATAAAAGATATATATATTACAAATAAATAGCCAGAAATCACATTTAAGCTGTTAAAACATGTATAACTCTGAAAAGGAGTACTTTGGTTATAGGTTGCTTAACTTCAACTCATACTTAATGTACCTCCTTATTAAGAGTAGTAGAAGAAAAGGCACACTTATTGAGTGTTTGTATGAATGTGTGTTTCAGCGGGTTGTTCTGTGAGTACTCTCCTCCGATGGTCCTTCCTCGCACCAGCCCCTGTGACAACCACGAGTGCCTCAATGGGGCGCAGTGTGTCGTCGTGGGAACAGACCCCCGCTGCCAGTGTCTCCAGGGCTACGAGGGCGATAGCTGTGAAACGCTCGTCAGTGTCAACTTTGTCAACCGCGAGTCCTACCTGCTACTTCCCTCCAGTCTCCTCTCACCAGAGACCAACATCAGCCTGCAGGTGAGATATTCATACCGTGTTTCCGCTCAGTGTTTAAATGTTTGTTTTTGGCGACCCTTGTTTGTTTGGTTAGGGACATTTTCATTTTTGGCAGGTCCACCAAAGAGTTATTTCTCACTAAGCTTATAACATGGTGTCATTTAAAGCAGTGGTTCTCAACTGGTCAGGCCTCTGGACCCACTTTTTACTTGGTCAATAAATCGCGACCCAACATTTTGAAGCACTCAAATCTATTCAACAAAAAAACGTGCCGTAATATATACGCTTTTCAGCATACAATATTAATAAAAGTGAAGTACAGTGCATATATCCCTTCACAGAACTAAAGTATGCTTTTAAAAAAGGTTTAATGAGATGATGGAATCAAAGCTGAATTATATAAAAAGGCACACATGCTGAAAACCCAACCCAAGGGGGTCTGGGGGGTTTGTCCCTCAGGAGATTTTTAGAAATACTAACATAAACTATGCATTCTGGTACACTCTGAGAACGCCTGCATGCACAGCGTTAGAAAATCGGGCCTTCAAAATAAAAGTTTGACTTTTTCCCCAAAAAAAAAA